CCAATTCTACTTCTCCAGTTCTTCCTGCAGAATTAGGAAACGTCCTTATTCCCCTTCCCATAGTGATGTCTTCCAAGTGGGAGACCACATCTGCACCCTGTTCCCTACAAAGCTTTTTGTTCTACTCATACATTCAAAGGCTTGTCACCCAGCTTTCATCTGGTGGTTGCTGGGCATTTTGTCCTTCTGGACCAGCTGGGGGGACAGGAGGTGGACCATTTCCACTGCGATCTGGGCAGCTCCTGACCACATAGCCCACTGCCTTAGGTCACAGTGATGATCACCTAAGACCCCATGCTTTCTTCCTTTTTCCCCTGTGGTCTACTACTCATGGCATTTTATGAAGTGTGGCACCAAAATGCAAAACATTTGTAGCATCTGTTTACTTTGAAAGTTAGCATTCTAGCCTAAGGAGATAATCTGATCTTAGTTTGGTGTCCTACTACTTTTTTTTTTAATGTTTATTTATTTATTTTGAGAGACAGAGGGAGACAAACAGTGAGCGGGGGAAGGTCAGAGAGAGACAGGGAGACAGAGAATCCCAAGCAGACTCAGTGCTGTCAGTGCGGAGCCCAACCTGGGGCTTGAGCTCATGAACTGTGAGATCATGACCTGAGTCAAAATCCGGAGTCATACACTCAACCGACTGATGTCCTGTGTCCTACTTCTGAGGACACAGGCTCAATGTTGTAATCCTCGTGATGTTAAACAAGTACCCATCATTCATCCAGGTCTGGCCGGTGCTCTGTGCCCTGGACCCCCGCCTGTGTCTCTCAAGGCCATGCAGAGGGTGGCTGTGCCAGCCCCAGTGTGTTAATATCTTGCTGAAATAAAGGTCCTCATCTGCTTAGCATTCCTCTAATATGCCAATCTCGTAACCTTATTAAAAGAGAAAACGAGATGAATTTGCCTGGCACTTCCTTCCTGAGTACTCACGAGCCTGCTGCTCAGGTAATCCACTCCCCCCACCTCCCGCCCGACGATCTGGCCCATGATTGACATTGGGCTTATTGGTGTGCAGCTTCCTCAATTTGCTTTTCTTTTCATCTCCGCTGCTTCCCATTATGTTTTAAAATTAATATTAAAAAATCCACCCAGTGCACAACAGAGTTAAAACCAAATAGTGTTGAGAAGCTGGTAATGAAAACAGCCGCCCCTGCTTCACCCTTGTGCACATGCACCCCCAGCCTCAGCCCCAGGACAGCCACTTCCAAGTGTCTTAGCTAGCCTTGTTTTGATTCTTTCCTTTCTTGGTGAAAAGATGTCATTATTGGGGTACCTGGGTGGCTCAGTCGGTTAAGCATCCAACTTCAGCTCAGGTCATGATCTCATGGTTCATGAACTTGAGCCCCACATTCGGCTCTCTGCTGTCAGCACAGAGCCAGCTTTGGATCCTCTGTCCCCCCTCTCTCTACCCCTCCCTGGCTCGAGCTGTCTCTCTCTGTCTCAAAAGTAAGTAAATATTAAAAAAGGAGAAAAAATGACATTATTTATTAATTTTGTTTTACTTTGGTAAAAATACCCATCAGATAAAATTTACCATCTTAACCATTTCTATGTGTACAGTTCAGTGGTTTTAAGTACCTTCACACCGTTGGGCAGCTATCATCACGACCACTCATTTCCAGGACTTTCTCATCTTGCAGAACTGACGCTCTGTACCCACTTAGCACTAACTCCTCATTCTCCCCCTGACCCACCCCTACTCCAGCCCCTGGGAACCACCATTCTACTGTTGGTCTCTGTGAATTTTACAATTATAGGAACTTCATTTCAGTAGAAGCAGACAGTATTAATCCTTTGGTGACTTGCTCCTTTCACTCGGCATAAGGTCCCCGAGGTTCATCTGTGCTGTAGCAGGTGTCAGAATTTCCTTCCTTCTTAACGTGGAATAATATTCCGTTGTGTGGAGAGCCTACATGTTGGTTATCCATTCATCAGCTGATGGACACATGGGTTGTTCTACATTTCAGCTTTTTTGAACAATGCTGCTGTGACCTTGGGTGTACAAATATCTGTCCGAGTCCCTGCTTTCAATTCTCTTGGGTGTATTACACCCAGAAGTGGAATTGCTGGATCACCTATGGTAATCATTCCTTAAGTTTTATAACTGACCTTATCTTGTGCTCAGACTCATATTCTGCCAGGTCACAGGAGAAAAAAATGGAAAACTTGTCAGTTGATGATATCTTGGTATTTTGGTTACGTCTGTCTGTCTGTCTGTCTATCTATGTATGTTTTCTTGAGGTTTATTTACAAACCATACTATTCACTCATTGTAAGTATACAATTTTATGATTTTTAGTAAATTATGTAGTTGTGTAACCAGCACCACAACCCACTTTTAGAACACTCCCATCCCCTAAGCAGCTCCCTCCAGCCTGGTGAAGGTCAGTCCCTGCACCCAGCTCTCCTCGAAGCCCTGGGTCTCTGGACCTTATGTGGGACTAGTCTTCAGGATCCTCCTGGGCTGTGTGTGTGTGTGTGTGTGTGTGTGTGTGTGTGTGT